AGTTCAACCTTTCTTTTGCAGGGTCTTCGACTCAGTCCATCGGCATTACCATGAGATTTTCCCACTCTCTATTCAATATCATAATTACACTGGTCTATCTTTCCAATCCAACGTGCCAGTTGTACCTCTGGGTTCTTTAATGATCTTAACCAGCGTAATGCAGAAATTTCTGTCCTGATGGTAAACCTTGCACCATAGAGGTAAGGATGGAAATATGTCAGACTCTTTAATATAGCAAGGAGTTCCCTCCATGTTACACAGTAGTTCCTCTCTGGTGTACTTAAAACCCTACTGAAGTAGGCCACCACGTTTTCGCCACGTTTTGAGACAACACTCCTCCAATTCGGACATTACTAGCATCACAATCTAGTATGTACGGTAGTGATGGATCTGGAGGCCTTAAAAGTGGAGTGGAGGCCAATTTTTCCTTCAACGTCTTGAAAGAATGCTGGCAAGAAACTGTCCATTCAAACTTCTGGCCTTTTTTAGTCAAATCATGTTGTGGAGCAGCTATAGTTGCAAAGTCATTCACGAACTTCCGCTAATAGGTACAGAGTCCCAAGAAACTTCTTAACTCTCCCACATTGTCTGGAATAGGCCAGTCACGCACTGCTTTCACCTTGTCAGGATCAGTTTGCACACCATTCTTGTGGCCTAAGTAAAGCACCTCTTTATGGAACAAATGACATTTCTTGGGATGGAGTTTGAGGTTTGCTGCTTTCAAACACTCGAATACTTCCTCTAGCTGGGACATTTCCTCATCAAAAGTTGTTGCAAATACAATGACATCGTCCAGGTACGCTAGAATATCCTCCATTGTAGGCCTTCCAATACTCGTTCCATCAGCCTCTCAAATGTTGCTGGAGCATTACTGAGCCCGAATGGCATCACTCGGTATTGCCAGAGACCTTGGCCATAACTAAATGCTGTCTTAGGTCTAACTGCTTCAGCCAATTTTACTTGATGGAAACCTGACTTTAAGTCCAGGGTTGAAAACCACCTGGCTCCACTTAGAGCATCAAGAGTATCATCAATTCTTGGCAGTGGGTATGAGTCTTTTTCGGTTATGTTGTTAAGAGCTTTGAAGTCCACACAGCAACGTTGGGTCCCATCCTTCTTCTGGACTAACACTACGGGAGCTGACCAGGGACTACCTGATCTTTCGACTATCCATTCCTTAATTAGACCATCCATGACCTTCTCTATCTCTTGTCGCTTTGCTGGAGCTATTCTCCTTGGAGGGATCTTTATTGGACGGTGATTGCCTATGTTTATTCTGTGCTCCACAAGGTTTGTGCAGCAGAGGTCATGATCTCGTTTCGAAAAGACGTCTGCATAATTTGCCAAAAGTT